AGGAGGAGGACGACGACGACGACCCGGGACGCAAGGCGAAGCCCGCGGCGGAGCTCGATGGTCAGCAAGGCCTCTGCACGGAGCTAGGCTTCCGCAGCCTGCCCTGAGGGCGGGAGAAGGGAGGCGTCCACTCCCACTCCTCGCCCGCCCCCGTTGTCGGGCGCTGTCGCAGGCTCCTGCAGATTATCCTGCCTCAGGATGCGTCCCAGCAGCTGCGCCTCGGCGAGAGCGTTCTACTGCGGGGCCCCTGGATCGTCCCGAACGGCCGCCTGAGGTATACCGAGGCCCAGGAAGAGCCGAAAACGTCCAGAAACCTCGATCTTCGAATCTTGATCTTCGAACCTCGATCCTCGATCCTTGAACCTCGAACCTCGATCCTGAAGTGCGCCGCCAACCACAGAGGGGCGGGTGCCCGGGGCCGAAGCTAAGGGGGGGCGGAGGGGGGGTGGGCGGGTAGGGGAGCCGGCGCGTTCCGCGGCGTTTAAGCAAGGGACTTAGACCCCCTCGCGTCGTGAACCGTGAAAAACTCCCAGCGGACGTCTTTCGTTGTTCGGCCTTTGGGGGCCTTGGCCGGGCCTCAGGACCGTGACCGAAAAACCAGTCGCCAGGGAATAGGTCGAGACCTCCAGGGGTCAACGTTGTGCACAGAAACTCACTATGGCGGGTGTCTGTTGAGAGTTCTGGACTTCCGACGGCGTGATGTTTGTTCGCGGCGCAGCTCCCAGCCCGCAACGTGGTTCCTCGGAGATGGGGCTTGCGATTGTGATTTTTCGCGATGTGGCTTTTTGGGGGGCGACGTCAGATTCCAAGGCAGGTCCCCTTGCCGTGATGGCGTTGGGTGTCGTGGGCGCCGCTGTCGAGTTCCCAGAACTCTGCCGTAATCTTGTTTTCCAGTGCGACAACGCCAGCACCATCTCCCTCCTCGTCGGGACCATCAAGGCCCACCAGGGCCAACACATCGGCCGAGGGGGCTGACGCACTGGCCGCCGACACTGGCCGCGTTCCTTGCCCCTTGCCTCCATCCATTCGCGAAGGGCCAGCGGTGACGGTTATCAGCCAGGAGCGCAGCTTCACCAATGGCCACCACGGCACTGTCGTGGGCCGAACGGGGGAACACAATCAGCATTAGGTGGTCTAGCTGAACAGCAACACTGTCCACTTGCGAACGTCCAGCTTGACAGCTGCCCCCCAAGCGGGGATAAGTCCTCCGACGTCCGCCGCCGACCGGTAGACTGGCGTCCGACGACCGACCACGCCCGTCCGCCGCCCGTCCGTCGACTGCCCGACGACCGTTGTGACGATAGCATCGGAGGTCTGGACCACTTTCCCAGTACAGCTTTTCATCCAGAGTCGTTATGTGACGGTTTGGAGGCTTGGTGAGAGCCTCTAGATACCCAAGATGGCCCAACACGTTCCAACACGTTCCGCCGTTTCGTTTCACGACGCGAGGATGTCTGGGGAGGGAGAGAGAATGGGACTTTGACTGGAGGGAGGCAGGGAGGAGAGGACGGAGGAGAGGATTATTCGCCTGTTGGGTTTGTACCTTCTCTTCCCACCTTTTGCTCCGTTGCGTCTGCCGTGTGCATGCGGCTACTCTTCTCGAGTGGACATTCGGCCCTTATGTGCGTGAGAAAGCATAATATGTCGGAGATCCGCGCGCATTTTTTGGATCGACGCTGGAGCCCCTCGCGGCGCCTCCGTTGCCGCCCCTGGCGCGCTTCAAGCGCCATGGAGGGGGTCCCAACGCCCACCCAAGAAAACCTCGCGGACCTCCGACAGCTTAATTTTGTCCATCGATTGATCTGTCCGTCCCTTCCTGGAAAGCATGAGCTTGTGTTTTGCTTATGGATTATGTCATGCCTGGCCTTCGCATCTGATGGATCTTCGAGGCCTCTTTCACGATGGAGTTGCCCGTCAATGCTGGTTCTCCAATTTCTGCCAGTGCCGTCTACAGTGACCCCCTTTGGGATCGCCAGCTCAGAGTGGTGAATGCGGGGCCTCGGCATGAGAGTCCAGCGCCGATCTGCTTGTGCAGTGCCTTACTTGTCTTGCGCGCAGGGGCTCGCGGGGTCACTGGGGGCGCAACGATGCCCAGCGTCTTTGCCCGATCTCCTGGACCGTACTTCACAGCCTCGCCCGCGCCGGCGTCTCCTCAGCATCTCAGCTTCCTTCAGCATCTCTCGAGAGACTGTTTGCTTGTGGGAGCGTACGCGTGGGACTCTGCACGCGAGTCCAACGCCGACTTGCTTGGGCAGTGCCCTACAACTGGCACAAGGGACGCCCGGCTTTCGGCGAAGGGGCCCATGTTCTCGATCCCCCACATCCTCGTGGCCGTGCTTCGACGGTATTGGCACTGCGCGCATGCGCGCAGGGGCTAGCTGCCCGCTCGGCAATCGTGTACACCTTTGGGGGGACACCCCCCCGTGGTTCGTCGCAACCTCCTCCCTGGGCCCTGTTCTTCCTCCCGTGGCCCTCGTCATCCTCCTCCTCCCTGTTCTCTGTGATTCCAGAAGGCCCGCTGCTCTCCTCACCCGCTCTTTGCCGCCGCTCATTATGGCTGTAATTATTTACCAGGGCCCTTGGCTAATTGAGCGACGATTCCGCTCTGCGAGACCGCTAGAAACGATAGATCCGCGATCTTCCATATCACAGTGGCAGCTTGGAGCGAGGCTCGCAGTCCGGGCCCGCGGGGCCGTACATAACAACGACGGCGTCTGCGACACGTCGATCCATACTGGAATCGAAGACCAGCGTCTTCCTGGTGATCTGCGTCACCCAGCTGCTGCGCAGCACACGCGCTGGCGTCAGCGTCGCCAGCAGCAACGCCTACTACGCCAACCCTGCCAACTCCTACGCCAGTGTTTGCGACGCCAGCACTCACGCCTACTACGCCTACCCTGCCAACTCTCACGCCAGCGTCAGCGACGCCAGCAGCAACGCCTACTACGCCTTCAACGCCAGCTCTCACGCCAGCGTCAGCGACGCCAGCACCTACGCCGACAAGTTCGATTTCTCGTGCCTTCAGAACTTCAGCGAAGCCGCCGAGTGAAATTTCACATGCTCCCCGAACTTCAGCGAAACCGCCAAGTTGGATTTCTCTTTCCCTGAGAACATCAGCGACGCCGCCTAGTTCGATTTTCTGCACTCCCAGAACTTCAGCGAAGCCACGGAGTTCGATTCCCTTTACTCCAACTCCCTTCTCGGAAAGATGACGGACATTTCTCATACTTTCAGACAGTCAGTCAAACCGACATGGAACTGATATCCCTCGAAGTGGAGAGACTAGAAGCAGAGGGTGAAGCTGTGGAAGCTCAGCGAGTACCTCTCAGTCACACAGAGTCTCGCATCGAAGCTCGTGCTCAGGCTCAGCGGGGCAGCTAGAACCGAAGCGTTGAATATGACGGAGGAGCAGCTGCACCTGGCAGCTTCAGCACTCATCGAGGGCGCCGACGAGAAGAAGCGCCGCAGGAATCAGGTCGGCATCGAGAATGTCTACGGCACTTGCAGGCGAACCTGGGCCAGCAGAAGCCCGTGCAGCACGGCGAGGCCCTCGAGAAGTTACTCGAATATACCCAGCATCGCCGACGGCGAGGTGAACGAATGACGTACTGGCTCATCCGCGTCGAGACGAGTCTACAGCAGCAACGCGACAGCGAGACGGACCTCAACGCGCTGGGCGACGTAGCGGTAGCGGGGCGGTTCCTGCCGCGAAAGGCCGGGCTCGCGGCCGAGCGCCGCGAGCGCGCCGCGGGCAACCAGCCCGACGAACGCTGCGGTGATCAGCGCATCCGTGGACTGCTGTCGCGGATGTTTCCGGATATCCACAACTCCGAGCGCCGCGCCCCGCCGCCCTCGAGGGCGCGGGGCAATAAGTCGCGCCCCCATGGCGGCTTGCGCAGCAATGCTTCCTCCAGCCGCGGAGGGCGATCTACCAGCGTCGTCGACGAGCCCGCCGACGAGGGCGACGAAGAGCAAGAGGAGGACGACGAGGGCGAGGCCGACGCGCAGGACATCGTTCGTCAGGAGCTCGAGGCCTGCAGCGCCGAGCTCGAGACCTCCAGCGTGGACATCTCCGAGCTGTTCGACGGCGACGACTCTGCCGTTGTCGAGGCCGCCGCGGCGGAGCTTGTCGCCATTCCCGAGGCCATGGCCGCCGTCAGGTCAGCCCGGGAGGCCCTGAAGTGAAGGGCCGCGGCAATTCGAACAAGTCCGCGCGGTCTCGCCGCCCGGCCAAGCTCCAGAACCTGGTCGACCAGCGCGGGAAGACGTCGCAGTGCTGGGACTGCGGCGAGACCGCGCACTGGGCAGGAGATAAGGAGTGCCCCACGCTGGGCGCTCGCAACTTCGCGCCCGAGAGCGGCAAGGCCAAGGGCGGTGGGCGGGGGGGCCGAGGAGGTCGCCCGCAACGCCAGGCGCGCATCACCGAGCAGGTCCAGTTCGCAGACGAGGAGATTGCCCTTCACCCGCAGGGACTTGCGTCGCCGCCTCCTGAGGCCTGCGTCTCAGAGCGGCTGATTCACCACCTGCGGATCGTGAACGTCGCGATCGGCAACGGGAAGCCCGCGGACGAAGGCGTCGGCGTGGTGGGCGCCGCCTGCCTCTTCTGCGTCTCGGGCAGGAAGTGGTGCGACAACTGCTGGGGCACCCTCGCCGGGATGAGCCTCGCCGACCAGATCCCCGAGGGGCCCGAGGACGAAGTCTACAGGTTCGGCAGCGGAGGCGCTCCCCCGAGCAATCTGCGCGTCACCGCGCCGCTCGTGCTCTGCGGCCAGGCCGGCCGCGTCGTGTTCAGCGTCGTGAACAGCCCCGCGCTTGGCCTGCTCATTGGCCGCGACTTCGCGCAGCCTTCCAAGATCGACATCTCTCTCTGGAAGGGCCAGATCCGCATCGGGAACTCCACCCAGAAGCCCATGGCGAGCGCCGCGGGCCACCCCGTGATCAAGTTGCAGCCGGACGACTGGCAGGCCATCAAGGACGCTGGCGTGGAGCGACCTGCCAAGCCAGCCAGCCGACCGAAGGTGAGCGACGAACCTACGGTCAACGCTGCGATCAAGACCGGCACGCTGATTGATACGCTTAACAAGCTC